TTCCCTTTTTTTTTTTTTTTTTTTTTTTTTGCGCATCTCATGATTTCACACCCTTGCGTTCTGGTTTCTTTCCTCGTTCCTCAGGGAAATATGACTGAATTCAAAGCACTCGTCGACCACTATGAAACTTTAGCACGACAATTTCGAGAAAAGTAAAAAAAAAACGGATTTTTGATTAATAAGCCTATTATATTCGAGAAAAAGGAAAGTTAAAAAAAGGGGAAAGATAGAATCCTCCATATTCGTATCTTTAATATTTTCATTTGTTATTTGCGTATTGTTCGATACACACAGTGATTTTAAAAATCGAGATATAATAATCAGCCTCGATAATCAGACGAATTCGAGTTTCAAAGCTTTTGTAGATCGTTGTTGTTCAATTCGATTTATCGTCAAATTTAACAATGATATTGTCAATGAGCATAAAGTCAATTATATTGCAAAATATTCTCAAATTAAATAATAAACGAGTTTATATCACAAAACTCGAAGCTTTTCTAGAATTAAATTTACAGATTTATTGTACGAATAAATAGAAGAAATTTATACGAGAAGCATTATAATCAAAGTAAAGAACGACAAATATCGATTTTCCTTTTCTCTATAATGATCACGTGTCCACTCGCGTATACACTTATTTCACTACTTTCCGTTCACTGAATTTCAAAAGACACCAAATAATAGCAAATAAACTGGTTCGTCGATTGCTCAAACTAGAGAATTACTAACTAAACTAGTTTAAATCAAAATTAAGACAAAGAGAAGTAATAATAAAAAAAAAAAAGAAAGAAAGAAAGAAAAAAAGGTGGAAAATGATTCAATATTCGCGTTTAACGAATCGGTGGGATTTGCTTCTGCCGTCCTCCCGTAATAACAGCGAATCCTGCGCAAAATTGCAACCTGATGTAATTCGAACGTAACTCGACGTGATTTTTACGAGTCCAAGTAATTGTTCGAAAATATCGAATTTAATATTCAACAATGACATGATGGTCATCAGAAAATCAGGAATTAAAAATTTGTCGCTATAATAAACATCAAGATCCATAAGAACAGCGTCGTTGATAAACTTTTCTATGTTACCCTTGTACATAATATTAAACGTTGTACGATATTAATACTGAAAGAAAAAAAAAAAAAAAAAAGTTAACGTTTAATGTTAGAAAAGTATTATTAAAACATTTAGAATTTCTATTTTCACTCTCAATCGATTTTGTCCAAATAAAAATTTCACATCTTTAAGCGTGAATTGCAATTCAAATCGTGAGATGAGAAATATCAGATATTCATTCAAAACTTTTCGTATACAACAATCATGGTATCCTAACGCTCTGAGAGAAAAAAAAAAAATAGATATGTGCTCCCTTCTAGCAGTTTTGTATAGCAGTCCGTTTTACAAATGTATATCTTTGTACAGAAATAGTCCAATAATTTTTATTGGAAAAAAAAAAATTAAAATGGGGAACTTTGTTAATTTTCTGCCTTACTATTTATTTTAATGAATATCATATATATATATATATATATAGATGCTCATTTTGTAATAAGGAATTTTATTCATTTAACAAATTGATGACAAATTAATGGCGGATAATTAATATCAATTTGACGAATAAATAAAATTTCTAATATATAGAGTTGAAACGAAAAGCTGTTTTATTTCTTTTCCTTGTTTTACATTTGTTAAATTTCTAGTTATAATTTATATGAAAGAATTGTAAAGAATGAAATTTTGTGAAAGAATTTGATCAATGTATATGAAACAATCAAACTCTTGAGGAAGAGACAGAAACATCAATAAACTAATTAATTAATCAAACTTAAATTTATTATTTGAATTTTAAATTTGTTTTTTAATTTGACTCTTTATTTGATTTTAAAACGAAAATCTTTACATTTCTATTATTACAAAAAGAAAAAAAGATACCAATCTTATTGAATTACACATAAATATAATTTTTAAAATAATTTTTTAAATATATATTAAATATATTACTACATTATACTTAAATTTCATTATTTTAAGAAACAAAATGATATGATAGTAAAAATAATAATATTTGACATTCTTTTTTTAGTTTGTACGATAAATTGCTTTCCATGTTTATTAAATTTATAATAATTTAAACAGGAATAAAAATAATTAACATACTTTATATATCGAAATTAAATTTTGTACTATATATTCGTAACAATAATTAATTTGTATATTTTTTACGTTGTCTCATATTTTAATTCTTCTTTTCCAATTATTTCTTTCGATTGCTTGTAATGTAATTTTTTTTAATTTTTTAAGAAGTATATATATTTATATGAAGATAAAAATGAAAGATGAAAAACTTATATGAAAAAATCAATAGAAACGAATAAAAAAAGAAAAAACAAAATTTCAAAAATATCATAAATTTATAATTTAAATTTGTCATGTAATAATATGTAATAAATATACGAATCAATTACTATTTTGTAAATATTTAAGAAAAACATTATGGAAGTACACGTTATTATAAAATACATGGAGAAATTGCTAGATATTGTACATCTGTATAATCATTTGTCGGAGAATGTATCTTATATTATCAAATAATAAAATAGAAAAGATTTATCAAAATTTTAATTTTCTTTTTCAAACTAATTTGATTTTTTCTTTGTAAAAATATAATTTTTTCTCATCTGATATATTCATTTGTCTAAAATATGTGATAGAATTTAAATAAATAACTTGTTAAT